AAACTAAAAAGAGTTATTGCACAATAAATATCACAAAGCAACAGATAATCTTACCAGTCCAAGAGTGTCTTTTAATGATGCCAGTGAAATCATTGGAGAGGTCGTTGACATATCAGACGATGAATCGTCCATGCCTTCACGCTGAGGTGGGATATGCTCTAAGGAGGTCGCTTTTCGGACTGGACGCTCAAAACTGGAAAACAAGACCATAATCAAAATCAAAAATTGAAATGTGTTACTGGCTGAGATTTCTGTTTTTGGAGCTCATTACCGCTAGTAATGGGTAAAGTAAATATGACATCACAAATGACATAAACATACACATGTATCTCTATTTTGTTTTGTAACAAAAATATCATTTGCAAAGTTCAATTTTCGAATTATTTATTTAAAGTTACATTTCTGTTTTGTAAATACGTGAACAAGCTAAAAATATAAAATGTGTTAAAATAATGCTGTTTTAGCTATTATAAAAAAATATGATATATAATAGATAAATATATTCTGCTCTCACTTTCCAACTTATTTCATTTTGAGAGAACTGGAAGGTATTATTCCTTTGATAAAATCTATCTATGATATAATTGATATTAAAGATCAAACAAAGCCTTCTAACTTAGTGTTTATTGTTTAAAAATTCATATTATGCAATTAATTTCTCATAACCCATCCACAATCTCAAAATATGAATCTGACAAGATGAATGCAATTTTAATGCAATGCAGACTATTCTAAAAAAACATTTGGGTGAACATTTGGGATGTAAATTACAGAAGTGTTTTCTACAGTCAAAATATGAATATTATAATTATAATATACCGTAAAACCGGTTAATTTCCATGATTTGAGAAATTCAAATTTAGTATGTTGGCAGGGTAAAGTGAGTTGTATTTAGTGGATTTTATTTACAGTATTTACTAAAAATATCAAAATTAAAAAATAGAAAATAATCAATACATTTACAGTACAACAAATTTAGGTTTATATGCGCATACAGATGAAATCCACATGTGCTTCTAATACAGCAAATACAATAACTGACATAATTAGGGAGTAAAGTTTAGACCCAATAGATTACAGAGATTTTAACAATATGGCTGTATGTGACTTATTCCAATGATGTAATGTGCCAAACTGAACAATCGTCCCAAATGTTGAATGCATTTATATTCGAATAGTTACATTGCTAGTAATGCACATTCATTCACAAAATGAAAGAGAGTGTAAACTTACTCAATGGTCCTCCTTCCCAATACTGGAGTAAATTTCTCTCGTTGCTGTGGATACACATGTAAATATGTCTGTGGAGTCTTGTGTTCATGTTCAACAACAATCTTTGGTTTTTCAGGTTGGTGTGCTTTATGGATTTGAGGCGTATGAGGGTGGGAATGTTGAGCGGGTTTCTGAACCTGTGATGCAGGAGGTTGAGATAGATGGTGTTTGTGGTGTTTCTTTTTAAGAGGAATGGATTCTTCACTTTTAGATACATGGATGTGAGCTCCAGAACTGTGCGCTTTTTGACCAATCTTATATTTCCGATATGAGTGTTTGACTTTGCTGATGCACCATCCACATAATGTTATGGAAATTAGCAATGAAAGTAACAGTCCAACTGAGGTAGCTATGGTAACCGGTGAATACACAGCTGAGAAAAAAACAGAAAAATAAAAACAATATGTTAAAATGAAGATCACCAGCAATTGGAAAAACTAGAATAGGAACATTTTGAAAGATTCTGGGAGTTTTTAGTATGTTAATTTAAATGACTGGCTGATTTAAAACTTACCTAGGGGTTCTTCAGTAATTTTCCTACCTAGGGGTTCTCAGTAATCAATTTACGATTAAAACCTATCTAGTGGTTCTGAGAAATTAATTTATGATTTAAAACCTGCCTAGGGGTTCTCGGTAGTTTACACCCAACTAGGGGTTCTCTTTCATTTTACTTATGAATGAAAACCTACCTAGGGTTTCTAAGTAATTAATTTATGATTTGAAACCTACCTAGGGGTTCTTGGTGATTCATTTTGATTCCCTACCTCCCAGTAATTTACTCATGATTTGATACCTATCTTTTTTGAAATTTACTAAACAACATATTCTATAAATATGATTTTGTATAAAAACAAGCAGCCTCTCGGCTGAGATGGCTTTGCTGTTAGCAAGAAATAAAGATATCATCACAAAATGAACAAATCTGAGAGATGTCTGCCAAAGGTACATACATGTATGCACCAAGTATTGAAGGCTTGAATTTTTCAAGAAGATGAAAAAGTAAAAAGTTGACACCGACGATGACAGACAATCACACATATGGTAAGCTCCGCTCAAGAAAGTTGACAGTGGAGCTACTGAAAAGTGAGTGTACAATTTTATGCCAGCCTAGGGGGTACATTGGCATTTTAAAATCTGTATGATTTTACTAAAAAAATAAATCTTATCAATTTATTGCCTTTAACAATTCCACTGTAGTTATGACAACAGACCAAATTTTATACCAGACATTGAATTTTATGATAACTGGGGGATATTGAAGGGAATTAATTTCTGGAAGGAGATGACAATCAACACAGGCAATTAATATTAATTGGCAAAAATGAAATTAAATGTTATCAACTTTATACTCAACATGATAAATACTCCACTTTACCATCGCTATGGAGACAATCAAACAAAAGTAGCCATGTGTTAAATTTCACAACATTATGTTACAACAATTGGGGGGGGGGGATACAACTGGATAAAATACAGTCCAGTCCAGGAATCCTGGAAGAATTCACTATCAATGAGCTGTGCCACTCTATGAATATAACCATCAAGTTTTGTTCAGTTGACCATAAATTAACTACAATGAGCTGTGCCACTCTATGAATATAACCATCAAGTTTTGTTCAGTTGACCATAAATTAACTACAATGAGCTGTGCCACTCTATGAATATAACCATCAAGTTTTGTTCAGTTGACCATAAATTAACTACAATGAGCTGTGCCACTCTATGAATATAACCATCAAGTTTT